AAACGTATGAACAAGAGAAAGACGAACAACTTCTAAATAATGGCGTTATAAATGAGCGAAGTATTTGTGTCTTTTATAGAATACCATCAAGATACTTTGTTTTCTACAATACAGGGTAAATCATGGTACTTTTGCAATATCGTAAGTACTTTGGATACTTTGCTTTTGCTTGGAGTACCTAATGTTAAAAATACTGCAGGAAACGGCCGAATAGATTCTGTATTTTACCATATACGATTACACTTTGCTGTGTTATATGAGTCCGTATTATGATCGTATTTCGTAGCGTATAAACGCTTCCGGTAGTACTTTTTAGCTTTGGGAAAAGGAAAAAAATGAACTTCGTTATAGTGTAGATTAACACATCACAAGAATGATGTGACAATATTATTGTATTTTGAACTAGTCGAGTTAGATGAATGTTATTTAATGCAAAAAGATGCGACTATTTCCCATAATGATACATGAACATTACTAAGTAGGCAAATGATACTAGAAATAGTCCTTTTTTCTTAAAACAATAATCTTTTTACTAAATAGGAATAAAATAACAAGTAGTTTAAATACATATTTAGCAATGTCAACATCCATTTATTAGATATATTATACCGTAAAATGGTATGTTCTCAACATTTTTCTTTTTCTTTTTAAATAAAAAACTTCTGTTTAAAATTTCTTTTGAAAGAGGTCGCACTATATTTATTATCGGTTACTTTTTACTGGTGAAGATATGTCCCATGTAATGTACGTTACGATGGAAACAGTCGGTACTGTCTCGTTTTTTTCATTGGAATTTTGATTTTCTTTAGATCGAGTATAGATTTATTTCAATGGAAACAAATACTTTTTCTCTGGAAGAAATTCGTCGTGAACTTGCTCGCTTAGGTTATGATGGTTTATCGAAACAAACACTTCTAAAATTTCAACATGATTTAGAAGATCTTGCACAAAATGAAAAAAATCAAGGTATTTATAATAAATTTTAGTATTCATCGATCTAGTTATTTATTTTTTATTTCCTCTCCAAATAGATTCACATGAAGTAAAAAGATCTGTTGCTCGACAACAATCCAATGTTGATTTTACAGTTAAATTATATTACACTTTGTTTTTTCTTTTTCAATCAATATTCAATATGTAGATTCATCAACCAATTCCATCAGATGATGAATATAATCGAAATGAACCAAATGATGATACTAGTGAAAGTCTTGATGAAACTAATACCCCAACGTAAGTTGAATAATGTTTTTATCAAAGAATAATTTCAATATTTCCATATAGTATGTCAAGTTTTCATTATCGACCAAAAAACAATGAAGATGATAATCGAAGTGAAACATCATCACAAAGAGTTATTAAACGAAAAGTTCTTCGGTTAGAAAAAATAAATTTCTTTTAGAAAGAGTGGAAAAAAAAACATGTTTTCTTTTCTTTATATTTTTTAAAGACATTATAATGGTAAAGCAACTGTATGTGATGAATCAAGATCAGGTTAGATTATTTGAAAAATTTTGATCTATTATTTTTTCTTTGTTTATTTTTTTGTTTAGAAACGGGTTCTGTGCTTGATTCACGTGATACAAGCTATTTGAATGATCTTCATTATCAACATAAACGAGGACGTCGACGAATCGAATCCGCATCAGAAATTGATAATCAGTCAACATATAGTGATGATGTAATACATTGTAATACTAATATTAGTATTTTCTTTTAAACACTTATTTTCATTAGACTCGATCGATATCATCAATTCATCCAGTAAAATCATGTAAGTCGAAAAAAATAAAAATCCGAATTTAAATATTGAAATTTTGTCCTTTTTTCTTAAATAATTAGTTATTCGTCCATCAACAGCAACAACTGCATCTCTTCGTCGTTCTCGTAGTTTTTCTAATAATAATATAGACTCCGTTCAACTTTATTCATATTATCGACAACAATGGGCATCACAACGAGCACCTGGAGAAAAATCACATCAAAGTTTACGATGGGCTATTCGAGATCAACTTTTACAAAAAGATGTTCCTATTAAAGTAATTTTCAATATTTAGTTTGTCTTTAATTAAAAACTTTTTCTCATATTTTCTCTAGCGAAAATCTACTCCACGTGTGAATAATTATATTGTACCAACAGCAAAAAAACGTTCAGCACTTCGTTGGAATATTCGCTATTCACTTGCCAATGGTTTACAACCTTCAAGAGATTTAGATGATTTTCTTTATTAATATATATATATTTCATTCTTTCTCTACACACATATTAGGGACTTATTAGATTCTTTTTTTTTCTATTTGTTGGTTTACTTTTTGTATATGTGTCTTAATTGATATTAAAATTAAATTTTTCCACGACATTGTAAAACAGGTACACGACTTCTTGTTTGATCACTTTGAGGATCGGTTGGTAATGTCATAAGAGTATATTGAGAGCCAGTCAATAATGGATCACGATCTTGAAAAGAAAAAGAAAAATATGATTAACCATCAATATAAAATATGTTTGAATACAAAATGAACGACTGTGCAATATTTATTAAAATAATTTGAAGTTGCTGCATGTCGTCATTTTATCATTCGATATGCATATCATTAGCGACACAGTAAGATTTTAATAAATTAGTATGCTTAGAGCTTACTTGTCGAGTATGAATAAAGATTATGATCGGTGATCTTGAAGTTTTCATTTTAAGCAATACTTTTTTTCTGTTCGTCAACATAACAATAGTGAATGCTTGAATACGATGAATGTTATACAAAAGAATGATTACTCATGAAGTAGCCTTTTAATCATGTCTTAATACTGTTGTAATAGCTTATTTTGAACGACTTTATTTGCATCCTTTTTTCTTCTCAATAATATGAGATTAGTATATAAAAAGAGAAGCTCAATCATCTAGTCAATAGGGAAACCGGACACTGACTTGTTCGGATGCTTCTGCCCTAGGACGAATTTTTGCTGAAAAAAACACAAAGGAAAAACAATTGGATTATATTATTTAGTTGTTACGCAAGATTATATTACGAAATAAATTAGAAACAGCAACATTGAACAAGAATATACTAATAGATATAGAAAGAGAATTTATTGAGACAGTAAACGTCTGATGAATTTCAGCTAATCATTAACATTAATATGTGTATTTTCAATCAAATTTAATAGTTGTTTGTTGACAGTCTCGTTTCTTGCTTTAGTGATTGACTGCCCAACATAGTGTTAATGATGTTTAAACGTAGAAGGTGTATGAATGTTGTCAGATGAGTGCAGGTGTAAATGGATGAGTCTTCTCTTCGTCTACATTCACTCTCAAATCGTGCATGGAAAATCAATTGATTAGTTTGGATGATTCTCAAACAATTGAGTTTATTGTTTGAATTAATATTCTTGTGCACTATCTTCTCAAAGATTAGAATAGAATCTGTTTGATGACTATCCGCCCTGTCTTAGTGCGCAAGTGTTCTAGACTCAGCCAATAATTAATTTTATTTGATAGGTTATTTCAAGGACAAACTATACTCACGCAGTGTGCCGTGAGATAGAAACAAGTTTAAAAACGCTTACAAAAAACAATCATTCTTATAAAGAAAAATAGTATTAAGTTATGAAAGAAATTTTTATTGTTCAAAAGTTGACCTTGTTTTTATATTCATACATTTTGAAAAATACAATTGCATAGAATTACTGAGATGGAAATTTCACATTTTTTTTATGTTTACTTAAGTGAAAAATCTCTATAAACTGAAGTCTTTTATGATAAAAAAAACAATCGTTCAATAATGAAAATTTACTAAACACTTCAATTTTTTAAGCTTTGTAAATGAAATAATTTTTAAAGAAAAAAAAAACCTTTTATCCTGTTGGAAAATTAAATGAACATAGTTTTTTTTAATTTTCTGATGAAAATCTGTAAAACAAAATTAACTTACATTGTATAATTTTTTTCGTTTGTCCATTCAAGGGTACGATATTTTGATCAGTTCGTTGATGAAGATATGCTGTTCCAGGTACATATCCATCAAGTTCTAGTGTAAGGATATCTTGAAAATTATGTACTGCACCAACTTTATATTGTGGTAAACTTCGAGCACCATGAATAGCTGCTTCTAATTCATCTTGTGCAGCTGGTTTTTGATGTTTTTGCCAGCTGCAAACACGTCCACGTTGTTCAGTATTAATAGTATTTTTTATAATCTTTTTAATAATGACATGCTATTGAAATGAATAAAAAAACAAATGATATAACTTACATTCATTCGCATTTTACTCCAATGATCTGTATTGAGATTGTATCGTGCTGACATATTCGATCAATTGTTTTAACTGTATAAAAAAAAGTATATTTGTTTCTTATGACTTTATAATAAGTCTTCTTGAAGTGCATCTTATTTTGGAGAGTGAGAGTGAATAACAGTACTTCATTTTGACATTATAAAATTAATTTATAATTAAAAGAAATATATATTACCGTTTTAAAGTTATAAAATCATTTTCCATAGAAACATCAAACAATACATCTCTGCATGTAGTTAAAAAGAAAAACTAAAGCGTCAAATGGGGGGGAAAGGGCTGTTCCTTATTCGATATAAAACAGAACGACGGAAGCCATTATTGTTCTCTATTAAAAGCTTTTGTCTTTCGATCTTTCCTACCAGAAAAGAACAAAGAATAAGCTGAACGCTAGAGAGAAAAAATAATTTTGATCATAAGTAATTCAATTAACAGATAAAAATATCTTATTATCTTACAATTTTTATGTTGCGTTGCCTGATGTTTATTCCTATAAAATGCTTTATTATTTAAGTTAACTATTTGTCTTTGTCTTTTTCTTTTTCTTTTTTTCTTTCAAAATACATTCAAAACACACTCCATTTAAATGAAAAACAAAGCATAACATATTTTTATGTACGTACACATTCACACAAATGAGATTACATGTTCGAGGCTTATGCATACATTCGAATTTTTTTTTTATTTTTTTCTTTTCTGATTTTTTCTTTCATAGATTTTCAGAATACGATTGATTGCTATGAGAACAATTGTCATTTGATACTACTATTGATTGATGAGATCTTGTGTCCGATTTCGGAGAATTCATAAACATAGGATTATAAAGTTTTCGTTTATTATTTGAAGTTGTTTCCGTTGAATATTCATAATTATGATGTGGATATGATGGTACATTCATATTTGCACCATGTGTAATAATTGATTCGATTACAGTTGGATTTTTATTGATTATTTGTTTTTGATGTTGACGACGATGACGTCGTGTTATTTCAGTCATTGTTGATGATGTTGTTGATAGAAACTGACAACACAATAATTGTTTACCTTGTTTCCATCGATAAATTAAAATAATTAATATAATAATTATAATAAGTGCAATTATACTAAATATAATACTAAGAATTATTTTGATTGTATTATTTTGTGATGTATTAGAATTTTTAGCTAAATTTGATAATTTACCAAATGATGAGGACTTATATTCAAAATTAAATGAACCTGGTTCACAATAATCCGATGAACAATCAATAGATGATGTTGAACAGGAAGAATGAAGTTGTTCATTTGTTAATGAATCAAGTAGTTGTATTGTTATATTATTAAAACATTGTCCGAATAATATGATTGAATTCTTTTTTGCTATAGGAAGCCAACAAGATGAACAATTAATTGAAACACGTTCAATTTTAAGTGTACGTAAACCAGTTAATTGAATAAATATACATCCATCAAGATCAAATAAATTTGTACTTGATAAATCAAGATATTTTAATGATTTAAGATATTTGAATGAATCTTGAATGATACCTAAGTTTAACAAATAAATGCATATATGTAATATATATTCATAATATTCTTGATCTAGAACATATTGTTTCACTTAATAAGTTTTATTCAATATGATTTTGCATATTTCTTATTAAATAATTCATTTAAATGTAATTTTATTTTTTAAATATTAACAAGGTAAACCGTAAATAATGGTACTCTTAGTATTTTTTACTAGAGTTATTCTTTTATCTTTAGTGTTTAGATGAAACAAATAGAAATACTTTATAGCCCTTGAAAAGTGTTCTAACAGATAATATGAAGTGAATGAATGACTGATGTATCCTTGAGACATGCATTAATTTTCTAAGTATTGAGCGCTTACAAAAATTCAGCTTTTTAAACTTGAAGTTTCAGAAAAATAACACTTAACAAAGATAAAATAATACTGTTTGATCTCGAGTTTTTCATTACTTTGGTGATTAATAATTATTGTACTAGATTTAGATGCCAAATTTATTGAAAAGTTTTTCTTTTTCGATTCAGCTAATCCAAAATGATAAATTTTGATTATATCGAATTCGATTTTGGAAAGTTAAGTTTTATTCGATGTTCACTTTAATATGAACGAACTTCGAATTGTATTGTAAGAAAGAGCACGCATTAGTCTATTCAAAAGAATTTTTACTTTTGTTCTATTATCTATAGAAAATTTGTCCTTTTATATATACTTAGTGATCTTCAGTTAATTTTTCTTCTTAACTTTCTATAAAAAAAAGCATTCAATAGACATTTTGCAGACAACTAAACACTACACCTTTTTTTTTGGAAAACGAAAGCAAATTCTTTTATGATTCATTGATTATACCGGATGTAGCAAAAGTTTTGCGACATTTTTTATTTGGCATGTAACACTGTTCAGGAACATGATAATACATTCATCGCTTTTTTTCGAAAGATACACAATTGAATGTTCTACTTGGATCACAAGATCAGGCTTTANTGTTGTCGTTTAGAAATGAATTCAAAAGAAAACATTGTCAGAAATTTGATAGTTTTCAACGCTGGAAATAGATTAGCACTTGACTGGTAACTTTAAGAATTGATGCATCTATACTAAAAGTGACATATTCCCAGCAGAGATAGGATCGGTTACAAAAAAAAACAACGCACGCGAACCTATCCAACATTTGATTCCCAACAATGAAAACTATCACATTTCAGACCATGCCTCGTAGTAGTTGTGATCAATTTTGCATGTCCTATCAGAAAATACAGTTAGATTTCATTGAGTACAAAGCATGAGTCTCTCAAGTGATTGGCATTGACTCTAAAAATATAAATCTCAGTTGGTTCTGAAACCTTTATTTAGTACTAGTTTATAAATTCTGATCACAACTTTGAATGCAACAAACAACAGTTGATAAAGAGAATCGACAACAACTCATGTTATCTATACAGAAAAATAGGTCATCTTTCGCATGATGTTCTACAGATACTGATGAATGTCTATTTAAAATAACTTAAAAAAAAAAGAAGCTCTTTACATATAAATAGAATGATAAATATGATTTTTTTTGTAGGTAAATGAATCAACAGGTACTATTGATGTTCGACCACCACATAACATAAGTGATGATACGGGTAAAACATTTACATTTGATTATGTATTTGGACCAAATTCAAAACAAGTTGATATTTATAATTTGGTTGCTCGTCCAATTGTTGATGCTGTACTTGAAGGTTATAATGGAACAATATTTGCCTATGGACAAACCGGCACTGGTTAGTATTCATTTTTTTTTCGAAATGAATTTATATTGAGCATAAATCTTTCTTTTTTTTTTTTAATTCTTACTAAGGTAAAACATTTACAATGGAAGGGAAAAAAGATGATAATAAAAATTATGGTATCATTCCAAATTCATTTGCACATGTTTTTCTTGAAATTTCAAAAGCTTCGAAAGATGTTGGGTAAATTGAAACAAAACAAAAAAAAGAAAGAATATCATTGAAATATATTGTATTAGATATTTGGTTAACGTCTCATATCTTGAAATTTATAATGAAGAAGTTCGTGATTTACTTGGTAAAGATCGTGATAAAAGTTTAGAAGTAAATTAATCGATTTCAAGTCAAAGAAAAACAATATAAAAATTTTCTATTTAAAAAAATTGTAGATTAAAGAACGACCAAATGTTGGTGTTTATGCTGATGGTTTATCGGCTCATGCATGCCATTCTGCAACAGAAATGGAAGCATTAATGCGTGGTGGCAGTTATAATCGTAAGAATTGTTTTATTATGGATTTAATTTATTATAAAATCTTTTTATATATTAGGTCATACGGGTCAAACTCTTATGAATGAACGTAGTAGTCGATCTCATGCTATATTTACAATTACAATTGAATGTAGTGATACTGGTCCTGATGGGGGAAAACGTATTCGAGTTGGTAAATTACATATGGTTGATTTAGCAGTATGTAGAAAATATTTTTTTGTTTAAATCAAGAAATATATGAATTTAACTATGATTATTTATTCTTTTAGGGTAGTGAACGTCAATCAAAATCGGGTGCTGAAGGAAGCACATTAAAAGAAGCAACAAAAATTAATTTATCATTATCAACATTAGGCAATGTTATATCAGCATTAGTTGATGGAAAATCAACACATATACCGTATCGAAATTCCAAATTAACCCGTCTTTTACAAGATTCATTAGGTGGAAATTCAAAAACAGCAATGGTGAGTTATTTGCCTATAGTTTTTATACTTGAAAAAAAAACCCTAACAAGATTAATAACAAAACCTAAGGAAATTCTCATACATATTGTAAAAGCCTGCATCATTACTAATTTATTTAATCATGTGTAGTCACATAGAAAAGGCGACCTGATGTAAGAAAGAAAAACACTCCTGGTTAGGTTCCAGGTGTTATGATCTAATGTTGCTCAATATTAATTCGAAATGAAATTTTCAACTTCATGATATACCCTGACATTTATCTACTTTTATTATAATCAAGTACAACTGAATATAGATTTAATTTAATAAGCAAATATGGATTATTACAGCCTCGAGCTATTCTTCCGCATTAGCTCTATTCATGAGAATTTATTTATAGAATTTAATCTTAAATTTATAAAGAATATATATTACTGATAATACAAGTAATAATATATTTTATCAAGAACAGTGAATCTAGATGAAGTGCTAAACAATATAAGTAGATTAATATCAAATTTTTCTTTATTATCATATTGATTAAGAGAAAAATTAACGAGTAGTTGATATTATTGAAAAATTTTTCAAGAAAAACATCTAGAAAAATTTAATTGTTTCTTAAACTACATATGAGCAATGTCATTTGTTAGTGACATGATGTTACAAAATAAAAATATTTATATCTCAGGTTTCATGAAACTGAATTAGAAATTCAAAAGTCCGTTCTGAATGGTATTAAATCCTACTTGAAAACAGAAATATCATAATAAAACAAAAGGTCTCCTTCTGGAACAAGAGTAAACTTCTAGAAAATTGCTTTTTGAGAAGCGGATTTCTAGAGTCAGATCCTTCTGAAAGTTTCAACTTATATATAGTTTAAAGTATGAAGTCTATTTTGAAATTCTTAGATTTCTTCATCATAAGATTAGAGATTTATTCACTAATTACATTTTAATGGATTAATTGATTAGACGATTAACTGTAATTAAATGCGTGAGTTGATATTTTTACATACACATTGTGGGACATAAATAGTACGACAATAAAAATCTGCAATATCCCCACTTTATTTCGCTCGAATGATCTAATTTTTTTGTTATCTGAAGATGCATATTTAAAGGATTTTCTACATATGGATGACGTAAATAAATACTACTATCAAGTTATATTTTTGGCCTCGCTAAAGAATTATCAATTGCCATCGAAGATAATAATAATAATAATAAGTCAAAACAAACTTCATTCATCCGTACAGAGCAAGTTTTCAAAACTAGTCATCAGTTTAAATGTTGAAATTCGTATCTCATGGTAACTCTTTCGGTATCAATTTCCTTGCAAAAACTAGTGTTTCACGTTTGAAAATTCAAAATTTTGTAACCATTGACTTTTAAAATAACTAACTAGTTTTGAAAATTATCTATGAAACGCTTTATGACATATTTTTCTTATTTGACTATAGACAAAAATTATTTTGTGAGGCTAAAAACATAACTTGCCAGTACTATTTGTTTACATTGTTTATATGATAAAACAGCCTCAAATAAACTTCTACCACTCATGAAAAAGAAATCAGTCCATGCGAGCGAATTGAAGCAGAAGTGTTTCGATTTCTTATCGTAATGCTATTCATAGCCCACACTGTATCCAAGAAAAAAAGAGGCTTGTTCAAAACAAATAATCCCTAGAAAGAATCAAAGATGACCATGCCCATTTTTTCAGCTTTATCCCACGTATATCTAAAAATAGTTACAAAGAATTTCCTATGTAAAATAATCTTTTATATCTCTTCATAAATTTTTTATTGATCTAGATTGCAAACATCGGTCCAGCTGATTACAATTATGATGAAACATTAAGTACACTCAGGTAAAATATTTGTCAATTTTTTCATCTTAATTCCATTCTCAATTATTAGATATGCAAATCGTGCTAAAAATATTAAAAATCATGCACGTGTTAATGAAGATCCTAAAGATGCTATGATACGAAATTTAGAAAATGAAATTCAACGTTTACGTAAACAAGTTGAAGAAGGTTTATTATTCTTTCTATTATGTTTTTTTTTTCAAATCATATTAATTAATTTGTATATATATATTAATTAGGTGGTGGTGGTGGTGATGATGATGAAGGATCAGGTTCTGATGTAAGTGATGTCGATGAAAATGGTCAACGCATTGTACGTAAACGTCCATTACGTGTCCGTCAAGAACGTAAAGAAGAGATTGAACGTGAAATTGAAATTGAACGAAGAAAATTACAAGATGATACAGAAAAATCACAAAAAGAACGAGATAAAATTGCTCGAGCACTTTCAGAAAAACAAGAAGAACTTCAAGCAATGTAAGAAGAAAAAAAACTAATTCTTCTTTATCCAAATTTTTATTTTTATTCAATATTAGAAAAGAAAAAGATGATCTTGAACAAAAACTTCGCCAATTAGAACGAAAATTAATTGTTGGTGGTGAAAATTTACTTGATAAGGCTCAAAAACAAGCACAATTATTAGAAGAAAGTGAACTAGAATTAGAAACACGTGTACAAAATGAAGAACAATTAAGAAAACAACTTCAACAAAAAGAGGTTTTATAGAAATATTCAAAAAGAAATCGTCAACATTAAGAATTATCCTTTAGGCTGAAACACTTGATGTTCAAGTAAAATATGCAACATTAAAAGAAGAAGCAGAAGATTTAACAAGAAAATTAAAAATTTTCGGAAAAAAATATCAAGAAGCAAAACGAGAAGTGCGAAAAAAGTTTTCTTTTTATCTATGACATTTTGTTTCTTTTTCTTTTTGTAGTTAATGGACCTTGAAAATGAAAATCTTCAACAACGTACAGAATTAATCGAAGCTAATTCGCAAGCATTTCGTGAATTACAAAAACAAGAATTTATTATTGGAAGTTATATACCTGAAGAATATCTTGTATGATTTTCTTTTTCTTCTTTTAACATTTTAAATAAATCATTATAAAATTTATTTAGAAACTTATTCAAGAGAATGCTGTATGGAATGAACAATTTGGAGAATGGAGTCTTAAATCAATTGCATATACTGGAAACAATATTAAGAATAAAGAAAAATCAAAACAAGATCAAGTATTTTTTTTTTTTTAATTAAAAAAATAACTTTAATGAAATTTTTATTCATAGAATGATGATTTAAATTTAACACATGTCTATTTAGCATATACAGCTAAAGGTGCTGAAAAAGCTATGCGAGATTTTATGGATAGAAAGAAAAAAATTCGTGCTAAAGAGAGAAAAAAGTATGAAATTAAAAATAAATAAGAATTTTATTAATTTAAAATGATCTTTTGTTTTTATTTTAATTAGAAAGACAACAAAAGAAACAAATAATGATCGTCCAACGACAGCAGTACGAGATTAAATATGTGATTTATTTTTTTCTTTTTGTTTTGATATTTAATTAATCCGTCCATTTTATCTTTTTCTTTTATACAAATAAAATAATAATCTCTCGTTTATTTTTGTCTCTTTTTTTTATGTATAGTCATTTATTTATTGTATTATGAATTTCAGATTAGTTTTTATAATGAGTTCACATACAGTTGATATTGGCTCAAAATCAGGCAAATTTAAATATATTTTAGTTCAACAAGGACAAAAATATATTCTTCGTGGTGATTCAAGTTTAGAATATCATGGTACTAATTCTTTTTGAATTTGTTACGTTGCTTGTTTAATTAACTAAATTCGTTTTTTTTTTTTGATAGATCAAATTTTTGAAAAATTAAAACAAGATATTGGAGATAAAGTATCGGATGAATTAAAAGTTTTAGGAGGAGGAAAAGTTCAAGTTGATTTTGAAAAAAAACAAATCAACGTATTCGGTGAATCTCAAGTAATTTTTTACTATTAGAATAGGATAAATTCATGGGTATCCAATCACTTTCTTTCATACTTGTTAAGGTGAAAAGTGATTAGAAAACAACTTCGATTGTCGAATTTCACTTGAAACGATCAAGTTTAAGAGCGTTTTCTCGAAACATCTAATGAAAAATGACAATATTTTAAGCTTATATTTTGCTCATTAGTAGCCAACCAATTGATAAGAACAGTTTGCAAAGGATTCTTCATTTGATTGAGATATGAATTTTTTAATAGACATGATCTTCATATTTTTCCACATGGTGTAGTCTAGTCGTTCAATACTAATTGGCAAAGTATGAGATCAAAATATTGTGATAACTTAGATAGTTGTCATAAGATGTTCCAAGAAAACGCTCCTGATCTCGGTCATTTCAAGTAAAATTTGGTAACTTAGTTGTTTTTTGATTATTTTCCACTTAGCTATCATGAAACAAGGCGATGAAAAAAAAAACCATTTTTCCCCTTAAAGTGATTGAATACCCGTGAATTTACTCTATAATTATTTGATAAAATTTTTGTGTATATAGTCATATGGTGCTGCTGATCATGCCAAAGCGAAATCATTACTTCAAGAAAAATATCCTGACTTTAATATTTCAACTGATAAACCAGCTGATTCGAGCAATAAATAAATATGATAATACACAATGAATATACAAGCTTTTTTTTTAGTTTAGGTTTTTTTTGTATGAGTTATTTTTTATATTATGAATCAGAAGAAAATATTTGCGAAAATAATAAACAAGCAAAAGTTAATTAAACTATTAGTTTATTCTACTCTTTTGTTTTTGTCTTTAATGTCATTTGTACAGATATCTGAGACATTATAACCTAACATGATTAATAAAAATATTGTAAATTTAGTGTTCTAATCGGCGCATACTATTGATGAGATTATTTTAATTTTATATTTTTGCGGTGTTCTGTGGAAATGATTCGTTCTTTTTTTCACGAGTAAAGGAGCCATTCGGAATAACATACTGCCGTAGATGGGATATATATTAGCTTGTCGAGCTCAATAAATATACATCACATCTGGTAAAATACTGTATACACCAATATATGTTATTAAATAATGATTATGAATTGTATGCCTTTATATCATTACGAGACTTGAATTTTGAGTCATTCTTTATAGATTCTAAATAAAAATACTCTTAAATCTTGTCTTAAAGTAGAAAATATAAATGTACATAGTCCATTTATTGAAGTCAGTCGTCTATGTCTCTAATTGAACTCTAATAAATGAGTAATTGAGTAGTTCTTTGCAAGATATAATATACATTTGATTGTTTAAGACACGTACGTGGCAATGAATACTGTAGAATAGATATTATACTTATGAGGCCTTACTAATGGATCCATATCCACTGCAAAAAGGCATATAATATCGAAAGATCTTACGTAGCAATAAGACAACAGCTGGCTCATTAATAAATGCCTTTTAGACAAAGAATTTCTTTTTTTTTGTCTACATTAAATCAGTTTCGGTTGTTTGGAAGTGACCTTTTTAAAAAGACTTTTCTATTTAAGATAAACAAATATTTTCATTATATTGTTACAAACTAAAATTTAAAACCAACAATCGTTATTTTTTTAAGATAATCATGAATAAACTACTTCCAATTGTCAATATTGGTACAAAATCAGGCAAATTCAAATATATTCTTGCGCAACTTGGTCAAAAATATTTAATTCGTGGTGATCCAACACTTGATTATCATGGTAATTCCATGATTTATACAAATATTTCATCTTTTGTAAAATTTTTTCAGAAAAAATATTCAAAAAACTTCAAGATGAAGCTGGTGGACCATTAAATGATTTATATATATTAGGTGGTGGGAAAATGCAAGTTGATTTTGAAAAGAAAAAAATAAATCTATTCGATCAATCAGAAGTATTTAAATAATTTAATAATCAATTTCAATTATTATTTTTATTTCTATATTAAGGTATATGGTGCTGCTGATCATAGAAAATCAAAAACAATTCTTCAAGAAAAATATCCTGATTTTACCATTGCACTTGGTCCAGCTGATTCAAATGCTAAAAACTAATATTAGAAATAAACAATATTTTTTCACATATTTCTTTAAACAACTCAGTTTTATGCTTGAACTTTTGTTTCATAAAAATTCTTTTTTAATCATGCTACAGGAAATATAACTATTCGAGAACTAAAACAAGAAATCATATTACAATATGAATCACATTATGTTTCACGAAATAAAAACAATATTGTTTTATTTCTTTGACGTAATGCAAGTTTGCATAATGATTGTGAAATAACTTTGTCACTAGTAATACAAAACTCGAAAGAAAAGATATAAACTTTTTCATTTTCTACGTCTTTCATCTGTTTGTAAAACGATATCAACATGGCTGACATTGATGATTTTGAATTAATCAACGATCCAGTATTATCAACCGAACAAACGTTTGAATTTATAGATGTACATGATGCTACTGGAAAAAAAACAAATACTAATAAGCCAACAACACCAAGTATTGTTGTGCCACCTCTTGTTTCAAAACCTTTAGTTAATGAAATTTCTCGAGTTGTACAACAACAAACGTCTAATTCTATTGTTAATCCATCAGAATCAAAAATACCAGTTTCACCTATTAAAACAACAACTCCTATAACACCTTTGGTTCAAATTCAAAAGACAATACCACCACCAGCTCCAACACCAATAATAATTCCTCCCGTACCACCATTACCAAAAGCTCCTGCTCTGCAACGTTATGGTGATGCTGCATTAATTCCTCATAATTTAGATGAAACCGTAGATATTGATGCTATTATAAATAAATCAAGAAACAATCATCAAAATACTTTAATTGCTAGCAGTCGACAACAGCAACAAAGTGATATTCAAACAGTACTTGAACAACGTCGAAATCCATTTCAGAAAAAATAACTTTTAAATCAATATATATATATCTAAGCGTCTACATAAGAAAAACGAACGAGTGTTAATACAGATGTTATTCCTTTTTTTTTCTGTCTGTTTTTCCTCTTATCTTAGATTTATTATGTACACTATTTGATCATTCTCACACATCATCTTTGTCTATGATACGATGCAGCATTTTTTGTTGCTCGATATAGCACAGCAGCTTTTTTTCCAGAATAAATATATTGATATATATATATGAATATATGTCTCTTACTTTCCAAATAAGAAAGAAATATGGGACAACAACACATATGTTTATATTTTTATTGCATACTCTCTATAGGTTATCTATTGTACAAGGCAAAAGAAAAATCTGATCGATTCCTTCCTGCTCTCCCCCTCTCTCTTCTCCCCATCTATAAAAAGAAGGAATATCTACAAATGCGTTCTTTTCATCACAAATACCATCTTTTCTTGCTGCAATAATAGACCTTTGAGAAAAGTAAGTATATTACATATCTCAATATTTGTTATCAATATATGTTCATTCTCAGTGTCAAGTGGCTCAGCTTTTAGCAATGTGCTTAAAGCAAAGGAAGATTTGCAAAAATCTCCTGAACAATTAGAACAAGAAAAACGATCAGTACTTGCACAACGTGTACCAGCACTAAATCTTGATGGCAAAACAAAAGAAGATCTTATTGAAAAGGTTCTTTAAATACATCTCTTCATAAATAATACTAATAATAATACATTTTTGTTTAAAAAAAAGGCAAAACAATTTCATAATCTTCTTCAACAATTACATGGTGCTATTTATGAATTAACTGAACGATTTGAACGACAAAAATATGATGTTAGTTATAAAATAATATGTTTATAATAAATAAACACTATTCATTTTAGATGGTCGAATTAACTGAGCGTGCTCGTCAAATTGAAAAAGGGTAATGAAATAATTTCTATTATATTTTTTAAATATTAGATCTATTCTAGAAAAGCTAAAACACGTAAATCAAATATCGTTCATACTGGTCTTGGAGGTGGTATGTAAGTATTTATTTATCACCATAAAAGCAAAAGAAAATTTTTCTTTCATCAATTTCAGTTTTGCTGGTGTTAGTGATGTAACAGCAAAAGCACCGGTTAGTTATTGAATTTTTCCTTTTTCCTTTTTTATCTTTTATGATATCGTTTTAGCCAAAAGTATCACTTTTCAGTCGATACGAACGTTGTAAGTAATCAATTAGTATTCTTTTTTCAAACAAGAAATAAATACATGATGAACAATTATCTTTAGTAACTGATCGTCGTACATACAAAGATCGTCGTGATGTTTGGGCTACAGAAAAAAAATCCGCCGACTTTGTTCCCGAACGTCCAAAAGCTAAGATAAGACATAAATCATCTCCAACTGATGATAGTGTACCACGAAAAGCTAAACATGCAGCTAAAAAACAGGAATCTGAAGAAAAACATGAAGAATTAGTAAATCAAACTCTAAATTAATATATATTTTTTTTAATTTGGATATTTTATTTTTCAGCCTCCTCCTCCACCTGCTGAAGAATCTGAAGCACCAGCTGCCGAAGAACCAGCTACTGAAGAAGAACCTGCACCAGCAGAAGAACACCATGAAGAAGCAGCAGCGGAAGAAGAAGAAGAAGAAGAGTGAACACTTGATTAAATGAATGTCATACCCGCTTAATACTAGATAACCTTTTTTTTTATCTTTTACCTTGAAATAAAACTTTTATTGAAATTTTTTATATACAAAAATATTTACAAAAACAAACAAATATGAATTTATTAATAATTTTGTTCATTTTATTTTATACTTCATCTTCTTCACCTGACATATCTTCTTCATTAACTTTTTCATTTTCAAATGTATCATGTTTTGTTTCACTGATTGATGCTCGTTTAACAACTGAGGGTATTGGTTTTGGTGTTTTCCAACCTTTGCGCCATTTTTGTTGTAGAAAAAATAAAATATGATAGCTACCTATCGAAGATATTAAAAGAATATAAAATATTCTCATTGGTAAATTCCAAAAGTTATATAAAGTGTTAATACCAATATGAATTTGTCGGCATATTTGATGATGATTATCGTCATCATCACTATCATTAGATGATAAAACACATAATTGAATTGTTGATGGTTGATTTATATTAAAATAAAATTTTTTTGTATGTAATTCAATCATCGATTTGATAGGTTCATTTTCAACTTCATAAGAACCAACAACAAGAATTTCTAAAGGTATTATTTTATAATAAGCTCTGGAATTTGAAATGATACATGTTAAATTATAATTAGCAATAAATTCAATTGGAAATTTGGTTGGAATTATATTTGATTGATAATTTGCTTGAATAGTAAACAATAAAGAACAGTTGGAGATATTAAATAATAAATTATCACCGTTAGTGAGTAACAATTGTATTAACAATAATGGTAAAATAATTGAGAGAGACATGTTTATTATACCGTACAAACGATAGGAATGATTATTAAATGCATTTCTATTGTTCGTTATTTTCGCTTCGGTCGAATGAATTATAGATTACAATCACGAATGATTCAAAGTATAGTATTATATGTCGAGTTAAATTGAAAA